GAAGCGTTCCATATTTTTCTACCCCACGTCCACTCCTGTTCAGTTCGCACCCCAATTTATACAACTCTTTTTGCCTACGGGTCTGTTTTATTGTTTGACCCGAGGTAAAATATAGTAATCCCAGGAGACTGATTGAAAAGAGGTGGTACCTAAACAGATTAATTACTACAATGCCTTCTGGCTTTTGGCTCCAATTTTTATCTTGCGGTCTTCCTTCAGCTTCCCTCTGCACTCTACTGAATGTTGCTGCACCTTACACTTAAGAACAGGCCTTGAAAAATTGGCCCATTTTAGGTCAGAAACACAACAGGACCTTGTGTAAAGATAAACAGACGAAATAACACTGACCGACTCCTCTGAATCTTTAAAATAACAACCACCACTTATTTTTTCAGTATTCACCATGATACTTATTCAGTATCATCAATTCTCACCTTCATATTCCTGATATTTCTGTCCACTGTGCATCACTGTCCCCATTTTACAGGGGACAGGGATGTAAAGCACCCTGGGCAAGACCGTGTAACCAAGTGGCTACACATCCTTATATATAAAACCTTTTTCTAAAAAAATATAATTCTTTTCAAAAGAAAAATGGCGTGTTAGCTTTGCTGGTGCAAGAACATGCACATGAGTTCAGCAGCCAAGACCCCAGAGAACCGCCTTCAGCCCCACACAGCTCCCAGGCCGCAGTAGAGTTGGCGGTCAGACGCGGAGCCCTGGAGCCTACGACAACAGCTGAGGGTACTCTGGCCGCCTGCAGCTACCTTGCATCATTCGGAATAGGACGAATGGTCTTTATCAGATAGAGTCTGTGGGCCCCCTCCTTGCACTTCCTCAAGAGCTTCCATGCATAGAGTTAAAGGACATCTACTGGTTGGTTTTTCTCTTCTTCTCTCAAAGATGCCTAGAAACATCTTGGGCAACTGGGTAAGTAGTTTTAAAGCCCTCCTTCTGGAGTGCTAAAGAGAGAAACTAACAATGTTGCTGCCACTCCCCCTCCTTCAGCAAGGACAACCCAGGAGACACAACTCAGGAGACAGGAATTTACTAGTTTTTGTTTTAGGAAGGAGGTCTTATGGAGGCCAAATCTCAATAAGTTCTGTTCAGATTATTCTAAAGAAACTTGTCATTCTTCTTGGCATGATCACTCTCTTGGAGCAGGAATTAGGAAAAGACACAGGCAATTCCTAGTTCTGGAAAATCCAAAGATCTGGATGACCTTCCTGGCTCTGAGATTTGCTGAGAGAAGTTGGGCAAGTCACTTGCCCCCTTTGGACATGTATAGTCAAAGAGACTATTGGCACTGCAGGATGCCTTTCCAACCTGGGTGCTTGTGGATTCTCATAAATGCGTCTCCAGAAAATTCAAGAGGCCAGGCTGGACAACGCCCTGTTATGTCCCTTTTCCTGAGCTCTGGAGGAATAGAGGACCACAGACTGGGGCTAGAAAATGAACTGGGAGGGAGTTGTGGTCTTCTCAAACACAGATTGCACTTCTTATGTGCCAGGAGCTTTACATATACTAACTTCTTATATACACTATATCCATATAGTTACATATACTGTATGGATATGTAGTATATACATATAATTATATGCATATGTAGTATATACATATAATTGCCTACATATATATACATATATAGTGTATACATATAGTTGCCTATACTTAATATATATAGCATATATGCTGTATACATCTAGTTACATATACTAACTTCCTATGTGCTCAGCACTTTACATAATGCTAACTCATTATGTGCAACAAAACAGTTCCATGAAGTAGGTACTATTATTACCCTCATGTTAGAGATGAGACTGGAGGATCAAGAGATTCGATGACTTGCCCAATGTCACAAAATTAGTCAATGGCAGTTGAGATCTCAGCAAATCTGGTTATAGTTTGGGCTCGTTACACTGTGCTACTTCTGGGATGGAAAGGTTCTATTTAGAATTAATGGAAAAATCATGCAGGTCTAATCCTGTTTTTGTTGATATTCTAAATTCAAGGCAGGAGTTGCATTTCTCTAAAGGATCAAGGCTACACTTTACAACAGGGTAAGTGGTAATTGTTGGACAGGTGCATGGCAGGTGACCTTGCAAAATGTGAGGTATGATGGGGCCCTTTCTTTGGGACACAGTTGGAACAGGAGGAAAATTTTTCTATTTTAGGTTGGCAATATCTTCCTTGATACCTGCCTCCAAAATGAATCCTATTTATGAAGAATCTTCTTTCTGAGCAGTAAGCCTGTGCTTAATTAACCTTATGCAAATCAGCTTAATTGCTTCTCAGTGGCTGTTGTCCAGAAGCACCTACGGATTCCTTCTCTCAGACATTTCCAGCACCTGGGTGAACCACCAAGTTGGAACCCTTTCTTGTGAACATTTGCCGGGTGCCTGTGGAGCACTGAGTGTTGTGTTGGAGATCACAAGAAGTGCAAGGTGTGACCCCAGTTGTGGAGGTACTTACAGACCCATACAACCAAGGATCACAAAGAGAGGGAGTGCCTTGTTAGCCTCAAGAGCCAAGTGTCATGATAACACAGGTTACTCTGGAGTTGAGGGGTCTTCTAGGTGTATTTTCTTCCAGGTTACTTCCATTGGCAGAGGAAATGGATATGGGAAGCACGACTTACTCAACTCTCTCAGGGAAGTGAAAAATAAAGCAACCTGATGCTGTCTCTACTTGCGGCTCCAACTTTGTTCAGTTTCTAGCCCTGGATCTTCTGGACAAGTGAGGATAGAGACCATATGTCAAGCCACCACTTGCAAGAGGACTGGGAATTCTTCTGGAGAAAAAGCAGCGGGAGGTGGAGGGGCTTGTTTACTGGGTCCGGTACCTCCAGATCTCGTGCCAGAGCCGGACCTCCTGGAAGCACCGGTAGGGGATAGGGGTGCCGAACCACACACCTGGAGACTGCATCTCGGAATACATTCTGTGGCTCACCGGCCCCTCTCAAGGCCCCCTCCCAGAGAGCCAGGGTACCGGAATCCCGGCCTTCAAGCGTTGACTGTAATGCCTAAAAACCGTCGCAAGGTGGCAACGTTGTGGCGAGAAATAGACTTAAAATCCTGGGTGGTTTTTTAAAGCATATTTTCCCTATTAATGTTTCATTTAACTTAATTAGAATCTGGTAAACTAATTAAAGTAGCTACGAGCCCCGCAATCAGCAATAATTCGTATAATTATTGATAATTACATCCATACCGATCGTTTGGTTATCAACATTTTGGGGGGGAACAAACCACTTTCAAAGGGATGCGGAGCCCAGGAGGGCTTTTGCAACTGAACTTTCTGGGTCGTATCCACCTACACCCCCAATCCACAGAGATTCCGGCCCAGATGGGGCGCCTCGACCGGTGGACTCCAGCTGCCTGCTTGCTCTTTTCCACTTTGGGGCAATTTGGAAGGGAAGGGTGGAAAGGAATATTTGCTAGGCTTCTCTGTTGGGGCACAGCCATGGAACTTCCTCCCTAGGTGGTAACTGTTATGCCCATTTTACAGAGAAGGAAAGTGCACGGGAAATGTGCGTGCCATCTCCAACACAGCGTGGCAGGGCTCCATCTCGGCTCCTCTCGTCCCTGGCAAGCCCTGGGGATGTAAGTCACTTCCTCTCTGGAGTTCGCTTCGCAGAGGGTGCAGTGGAGAACTGATCTGGTCAGCCCGCCAGTATGAAAGGCTCCAACTCCCCGGAAGGTCCCAACCTGGAGACCTCGAGGCAGTACCTCACAGTTGGCCTGGCGCCCCCACCGCAATTCCTTTCCACACGTTCTCTCTTGAGTTTTGCCCTAGGAATATCCCCGAGCTCAAGGGGCTCTGGGACTGGCTTCCTTCCTCCATTGCGCGGCAGACTCCGGTGTGAGCCCCTTACCGGCGTCCCGGGGCGCGCCAGCTCCAGCGCGAGGCCCTCCAGACCACCTCCCCCCCCCACGAAACTCACGGCCCGCACCCCTGAGCGCTCAGCCCCGGAGCTACCTGACCAGAGTCCCTGGGCCGCTACCCGCCGCCAGGGTCTCCGCCTGAGAGTTAGTGTGGGGGTGTCTGAGAGCTAGGCCATCCTGGCGCAGGTCCTGGCAGCGGTTGGCGTCTTACTCCCAGAGCGTTTCCATGAGCCTCCGGGGACGGAGGCCCAAATGTCATTTTGTAGAGGCCCAATCGGAGGCCCAGGCAAAATAAAGGGCAAAGCAGGGATCCTTGCTAGCCCGACTTGGAGGTGAAATTCTGCCGGGGCTGAGTGATTCCCAATACCAACACTTTCCCAACCTGGAGGTGCGCTGTGGGAACCGGCCGACCAAGGCTTCCACAGGGCGAAGCTTCATCAACCGCGCGAGTCGGGCTTTGGATGCCCCTGCGGACGGCGGTCCTCAACTCCACTTACACTAAACTGGAGGGATTATCAAAATGCGGCCTGGACTCCCTCCTTTCCCGTGGCGGTGGAGCTAGCGGGAGGACCTACGTGAATGAGCGCCAAAGTTCACCTTTTCCAGGATTGTCCCCCCGAGGCTCATCCCTACCCAGCGCTGCCAGACAGAACAGCAGTGCCCACGCCAGTTAGAGGCTATGCTGGTTGAACCCAAACTCCAGGCAAGCCTAAAAGTCTCTTTATTTCTGAAAGCCGGGGAGGTGACTTCCCTGGGCAGGCGTGGAAATAAGGCACGAATGAACTCAGTCCCTACAAGCGTCTTAAGAGAAGGGACCACCTTACCAGGGACCATACAATTATCCCCTTTCCCTAACCAGGGCCCCCTAGGGGAGGGTCCTAAGGTAGAGAGAAGGTGACCTGGGGGTGACTGTGTCTGGCTGGGTCAGTTGAGAAGTCTGGAGGCTTGCTTCTGTCTAGGTGAACGAGCACAATTCTAATCCTGGGCGCCCTAGACCCCGCACCACTGTCCCCACGCCCCACCTGTGGCACAGTCCTCTGCCGGCCCTGCCCCTTCCCTCCCCGCCCCCCCAGCCCCCTATCCCCCGCCCGCCCCCCCCCCCCGCACTCCCAGGAATTGACAGATTTTCTTTTTTATTAAAAACAAAAGTCTCGGATACAGGGTGGTCTCCCCAAACAGGCTTAAGGTGGTCGCCATCTCGTGAGTCAGTTGTCGCCCTTTTAAAGTGCTGTTACATCGAGAAGTTACAACTACAACATAAATAAATAAATAAATAAAATCCAAAGCGGGGGGATGCAAAGGGGACTGGAAGTAGGTCCAGGAGAAGAAAGAAAAACAACTTAGAGTATAAATAAAAAGTGAATCTAATACTGAACCAAGAGACTCACAGTACATTTATATCCATTGCACATAGCCACTTAGTCATTAGGAACAAGAGAGTGGACGGGACTTGGGAGCGCGGGGTCGGCGCCAGCGAAGTCGCTACATTGTATTCACAATTGGGGTCCGAGGCTGTACGTGGGCCGGGTGGGGGGTGGGAGATGTCCTCCCTCTTCCCTCCTCCCACCACCCCCGTGGGTCCAGTTAACCCCTTGAGGTCCGATGCCCTGGAGTTCAACCGAGGGGCGAGGCGGTATTTACACTTGGAAACTGAGCCGGGGCCCTGGACTGGGACGCCCGGGAAGGTCCGGACAAGGCCGGGCGCCCGGGAGGAGGACGGCGGACAGGCGGACGGGCGGCTGTATTTACATCGGTCGGGTCCGAATGGCTTGTTCCTCGCTCTGGGCCGCCACGGCAGCGGGTATTTACAAGAAGGAGCAGCATGGCTTGAGGGCGCGTGGGCGCGGCCGGGCCGGCCCTAGGGTAACAGTGGGGGCTTGAAGGAGCAGTTGCCAGTGCAGTGGCGGGGCGTCAGCATCTTGCAGGAGAAGTGGTGCAGGGCGTCGTGGGCTTCTAGGGAAGAGAGTCGTACCAGCCACGTTGGCCGCCGCACTCGCCTCACCTGGCCTCTGCAGTGCACCGTCCCACTCCCCCCACCCCACCCACCCTTTGGGCTCAGGGGTTCTCAACCGACCAGATCAGAAAAGATATAGGAGAGAAGCTGGTGATTCAGAATCATCGCTCTGGTTAAATAGCCCCATTTTACAGAAAAGGAAACTGAGGCGCAGAGAAAGAGGGATCGACTTGCCCAAGGCCAGAGTTGGACCACAAGGCAGATTTTCTGATACTAAAGCTCAAAGGACACTTTCTTCTTACCCTGCCCTTCTAGAATAATTTCCCCCATTACAATCAATTCCCACTCCTCTCTTCTCAGTTTCTGATTCATGTAGACCTTAGCCTCCCCCCTCATTAGCCTCGCCATCCATCCATCCATCCACCCATCCATCCACCCATCCATCCATCCCATAGTACAGCCAGCCCCCTGATAGCGGTGCTATCTTTGTTTCGGGGGTTTCGCACCTTTTAATTTCTGCTGTATGGCGTAGCGCGCCTTCCGCTCCTGGTCAAGTTCGTTACATAGAGTATCTGGAAGACATGGAGGATTGGTGAGGAAACGCAGACCACCTTCCGGCGGTCGGGGTCACAGTCAGGGCTACATCCCTCCCCTTGGCGCGGCCCCTCGCAGAAACAATTCTGGGGATGGGGGGAGGGGGCACCAACACTCCAAACTGCAAACTGACAGAGGGAGGAAATGGCCTGGGATGGCGCTTAAAGGCAGACGGATCTAACCAAAATTAAAGCAAACTTAGGCATTACTTCCCAGGTAATTTTACGCCTCGATTTTTAATTTAGAAACCATGGAAATTGCCGCGATAAGAAGTTCAATCACTCCATGTAATGATGCCTGCAAGCCGTTTGCTGGGCTCGCTTGCCATTCTGAGGCTAATCAGAGTATACAAAGGATATTAAATAAAAAAAATAATTGTTAAATTACCTTCAATTTAAATCCAAATGACTGAGCCAACATTGCGGCTCCTGCCAGACGAGAGGCAGTTACGGCCCGTGCACGCGCTCACCTGACTCCCGTCTTACCTCTGACAATTTGCAGCTGTTGCACCATTTCTTCTCGATAAGCCAATTCCCTCTTCATTTGATCCTGAAAATTATCTGTGCAAATTGATTAAGTGAGAGCTGTTATGCACAGCCTTCCCCCTCAGCTCCACTTCCCCATTCCCTCCCATCTTCACCCCTACCCCCACCCCCACCCAGTCCTATGCCTAGCTGGAAACAGAGGGAAACAGAGTTCTTCCCCTCTAGCCACCTGCCTATACCCCATTCCGAGAGCAGGATAGATTGACAGTGTTGAGGTGAGTTGAGAAGGGATGGAAATACCTTTGAGACTCTGAAATTCCCGCTCCAGCTTCTTTCGGAGATCCATTTGCTCCAGGAGCAATTTTTGCAATTCTTCTGTGAATGGGAGAGTGGGAGGTAAGGGAGGGGAATGGAGAACTCAAGGGACCCATTAGGCATTGAGGTCTTGCTCTGGCTAATAGTCCTAGAACCTTAGTTGGTATAGAGGCCTTCAGAACTCTAGCTTTCCCATTCCAGTCCAAAGGATTTGAGTGAAGACTCAGGGCTAAGTGGGTAGGATGCCCTGGAGAATCAAATTCAGGAGGGTGGAATCCATTTTGGATTCCTAGACCTTGGTTCCAGGAAATGACTGGGTTGTCATCTGCTTTAAGTTGTTCCTAACTCCCTAATCCTAGAGGATGACCCACAAAAACCTTATTTCTCACTTCAAATGACAGTTCTAATCCCTTCTTTCAATGCAAATCAGGGAGAATGTGGTCAAAGCCTTGGACAGCTTTCCCAGAGAAATAGACATACTTAATAACAGTTTAGTTATAAGGAGATGCCCATAAGAACCCTCACATAAAGCACCAATGATTGTGAAGGTAATGACAGAATCTGTAACTAGGAAAAGTGGAAGCTTGTTTTCCTTCCCCCACCAATTTCCAAGATCATTCATGGACTGTGGAAAACACTGTTTAGTGCCCTCAGAAGCCACTTACAGACAAGTGGACGGGGAGGCTGCCCTAGCCATGGGGCCAATAGTATTTGAGCCCTCCACATGAAGAGGTTCCTCTGAAACATAGCAATGGAAGATGGACAGGCCAAGTGGGGTTTGAGACTCCCTTCCTCTATGCTTCAAGCCAACTTCTCCCCCTTGCAGGCAAAGCAACCCTGGGGGTCCCATTCTGCAAACAAGCTCCATCTTCACAGAAATAGTTATAAGTTAATTCCAGGGAAAGTACTGTAACCTCTCACCTGTTCCTAAAATAAATGCCTCTTTGCAATCTTACTCTCAAAAAAGGAAGAAGAAGAAGAAGAAGAAGAAGAAGAAGAAGAAGAAGAAGAAGAAGAAGAAGAAGAAGAAGAAACAACAACCTGTTTTTCCATGGAGTTTGGGAGACCCACATTATCCTGTCTGATGTTCACAGACTTTGAGTTCTAAGAATCAGTGCTCATTTCTCTTTCTCACTGGGCTATTCAAGACCGACTCAGGCCTTGGGAACCTAAATTTCTAATAACCTACAGGGGCTTGTTCATTCCCTACCCACATATACACATATACCTCTCTGCCAGGATGTGTTCAGAGGATTATCCTTTCTACTTAATGAAATAAAAACTCAACCTCTCTCCCCAATAGCAAGGTCTTCCCACATACCCACTACAGCAACTACCTCCTCTCTACAGGAGGGGCCCATCCCCGCAAGCACAGTGTACCATTTCACAGATTTCACCTCACCTCTGGCCAGGTTTTCAATATCTTTCTCCACCAGCTGAGTTCCTGTGACATCCAAGGTAAGCCCTTCTTCACCTGAGATACAGGGGGAGGTAAGAAGGATTTTGTCTCGGGAGAAGGCTTGAGAGGGGAGGGGTGAGTATCCGGGGAACTGTAGCAAGTCACGGACCTACTCCAGACCCTTCTGCCTTTAGAGGAGGCAGTTACAAGCGGTCAGCACTACACACCTTCCAAGCCATCATTTTAGGGAGTAGGAGAGTGGGCCCCGGGGAGATAGGCTATCCTAGGGAAGGAAATGCTTTGACCTATTTCAGATGGGTGAGGCGATCTCTCCGTTTCCTCTTAGTATGTCCACTACCCTTATCAGAAAAACCCCAAAGCGGGTAGCTCTGGAACCTGGCCTGCATCTCCCCTGCAACATTTAAATAGTAAGTGGCAGCCTCTTGCTCTTGATTGAAACCGCCTCACAAGCCTGTGGAAACCTGTGCGACGTGGGTCCCACAGCCGGGCGGCGAGTGGGGCTCAAAGAATCTCAGTGCTCACCTCGGTCTGTATTTGTGGGACTTGGCTGGGAGATACTCCTTTGGTCTGAATAGGATTTCCTCGTTTCCAAATCATCGGCGGTCGAGTGATTGTCTTCCTTATCTGGTTCTTAAAGGCAATAAACCGAGTTTCAAGGAGAAGCAAAGAAACTGTGACCCCGATACTGCCAGCACTGCCGCGGTTGGGGCGCCCAAGCCCTAATTAAAAACGTGGTGGCCGCCTCTGGTTCCCGACTGTGAGCCCAGGCGCGCGCCCTGAGGCTTTGGGCAGGGTACTCCCTCCCCCGCACATGGTCTGCTAGTCTCGCGGCTTCACGCCACTCCCCAGCCCCTCGAAAAAGAACGAGACGAGCAGCCGAGCCCACCAGGGACGGGCGACCTACATCGCACGCAGATACTGGGGCACCGCGAGCCCGCGTGGCCGCCGGGTCTGTCCGCGCGATTCCCGCGGAGATCGCAGCCCAGGCAGCGGCCTACCGCGTAGTGTGGTGCGTCAGGAAATTGTACTGGGCTTGGCTGCCTTCGCTTGCCCAGATTTCCAAGACCCCTCCTCTGCTAGCAACCTGGCCTGAGCGCAAGGGCAGGCTCCCCCGCCCCCCACAGTGGGCCGACGCTTCCGGGGGTATCCAAGCGCGCAGCCAAGTTCGCTCATCCTTCGCCCAGACCTGGCCTGGCCACCGGGAACCCTGAAGACCAACACACTTGCTGAATAAATGAGAGAACTTGAAGGAGATGCAAGCGTGATTTTTTTTTTTTTAAAGATTTTAACCCTCGTACGAGGTGTACTGGAGCATGTGTGTATGTGTGGTGGAGAAGGTAGGTTGGTACTGTTTTTTTAAGTAATCAGCCTGTGGGAGTTGATAGGAGTTCTCAGCTTCCCTTTTCTTTCATTATTTTTCTTTCCTTCTCTCTTTCTTTCGCTTTTTCTGTGTCTCTCTTTCTGCCCTCGGCTTCCCTCGCTGGCCTCTTTGGGGCCTGCCCTCTATTCGCATCCCCTCCCCATCACAGTGGCCAGAGGCCTTGGAAGGCGTTACCGTGGGCCTCGGGGGTGCAGAGGTAGGAGGCAGTGGGCCCCAGCGCCGCCGCGGCGCTCTTCACGTGCTCATCCCTCTCCGGCGCGTATACCTGCTGCGGCCGAGAAATGACAAGCGATTAGGGGGGCTCCTGGCGGCTGCCGGAAACCGCCCAGTCCCGCCCCGCAGCCAACAGGAAACTCCTAGGAGGTAGGGGAGGGTGGCTTGCCCGCGGGACCTAAGGGCAGGGGTAGCGGGGATGCACGTGGCGCACCCTTGTGCCCTTGCGCCCTTGGAGTCTGTCACTGTTGTAGATTCAGGTAATTATTGGCCCTCGCGAAAAAAATTACTCGAAACGTGAAGCGGTTCCCAAGCCAAAGGCCATTCAAAGCCGCCCCGGTTCTCTGCGCTCGCCTCATTTCCCCCATTTCCCCTCCTGCCCAGGCCTGGGTCCTATACTAGGCAAAAATGATGCTTTCGCATCCGGTTAATGATTCGTGTTTTAATGAACCGAATGGAAATGTATAAGTGTGCGCACCCACTTTCAGGAAGGCCAATGATTCCGGCCTAGCCACAACCTGTTCCTCTCCAGCCCCAGCCCTGCCAACCTTAGAACCCCCTTGCGCCCCGCACACGGTCCAGAGACAATTTCCCAGCATCAAACCCTGTGAACGGTTCCTAATGAAGGAGTGTGAAGAGACTCGGTTGGGGTGACGGAAGATTCCTAGGACTCAGTACTGCTAGGATCCGAAATGGGGAGAGGACACCCTCTCCTCTCGCTACCCACTAGTTCTCCTTGGAGTATGAGAGCGTTTCTCTCTTGGTTTAAGTCCCTCTCTCTCCTGGTTCTTCCTCTAGAACCCTTTTATTTCTCTCTTTCTGGTGTCTGGCAATCTCTGCCGGTTCCCATCCTCACGCCTAACAACAAACACAAAGCACACGCACTCCCCAGGCTTGCCCCCGATCTTCCGAAACTTCACTCGGGCCCCAGGACCCCAGTTCCACAGCGAGCCCAAGTCTGGGCCTGCCGGGAGCAGCCGGGGTTGCTACGCAGAACAAAATTCGGGCCTCCCGTCCCCCACTTGGGGTGCTTTACTTGAGGGTGGTGGGGTAAAGGGGTAGGTGCTACCGACTGAGCGGTCTCTGAGCTCACCTTGGCCGTCGTGGGGCCTCCCAGGGGCCCGCAAGACTCTCGAAGCTCGTAGCCGCCGCTTGGCGGGCTTCTCTCAGGTCTCCGCACCACATCATCCGCTGCCAGGTCACCAAATGCAGACCCGCCAGCTGGGGGAGGCCCGAGGCGGCGCCGGGGCCGAGGGCTACCGCCATCGGGAGAGTCTGTGGGGCCATCTGCGCCTGAGGAAGCAGCAGAGAGGGGCCCAGTGGGCTGGTCCCCGTCTGGGCCACCTCCCGCGCTGAGCGCACTAGGTTCGGTCTCGTCCTGGGCACCCTCATCGTCGGGAAAGCGGTTGGATTCCACGTCCACCTCCGGCTCGTCCGCGGTGTCCACGTCGGGCGAGGCGGAATGGTAGCTGGAGCTGCCCTCGCTCAGAAAATCTGGGCTCACGTAGCCGCCGCCTGTCCCCGCGCCTGGCCCTGGCCCACGAGCAGGCCCCGCGCTGTACACCTCTCGGGCGCTACCATACAGCTTGGCAATACTCTCGGTGTCCTTGACCACAGGTCGGAAGGCAGACACGTAAGAGCCCTTGCGTGCTGGCGGAGGCGGTGGAGGGGCCAGGGGGGGCAGGGGTGGTGGTAGTGCCTCGTCAGCGCCGTCCTCGTCCAGGGGCCCGCGGGACAATGCACTGGGGCAGCGCTCCTCAGCTCCAAGGCCGCTGTCCTTGGCTGACTCAGCACCGTCCAGGGGCTCT